CGGGAGGACGCCGGTTCGATTCCGGGTCCGTCTGCCTTGGTCCAAGTTTTTCTGTGGTTTCCTTGGATCACTTAGGCGAATGCTGAGGCAGTAATATTCCACAGATAATCTTTCACTCTCTTCTGTCTTCATTTCGTCCGTCTCATCTTTCTCACCCGAACCACCACCCACCCATTCCCACGATTCCTGAAAGCAGGCTGAAGAGGGCCTTCCGCCCTACCTTCCGGCATAGCCCGGAGGGACTGCCCGCTCACCAGCATTACTGGCTGGTGGGAATGAAACACCCAAAAGTTAAAAAGTTTTAATTTATAAACTCCACATTTCCTTAAAATACAACAATCGATTGTTAAAATTAATTATAGTCCAGCCTTAATATGTATGCCTTTTAAATCTATCATGCACATTCTTAATTTTTTTTTGTGGGTACTGTACGAATGTAAGCTTAAACGTAGTTTACGATTAGTGCAATAACACATGTAGTTATACTCTCGGGAATGTTCCGCTTGTTGTTGAAGGTGTGTTCGCAAAATCGTGTCTCGGTTTCGTGGTATGACCACCAAGGAGCTAAAATAGCACTCCCCTTCTATTATTTTGCATTCATGCGAATCATGTCAGCAAGAATGCATGCCTGTTTAATTCAACGAGGCATTAAACTAACAGGCGTCTACGAACGGCGTCGTCGGATGAAGTAAGAAAAAGAAACAACGTAGCGGCGCAAATGATTGTCACATTGCACTCCCAGACAATCAAACGTAAATTTACATTTTTCAATCACTCGTCTGGAATTTTCACACGACATTCAACGCTATATAATAGATAACTTGTCACCGTTGCATCTATTGAAAAATAACCGGCAATTTTTCATTTCTCGTCAGTTCAGTTAATTATTTAGAGTCAGTTAAAAAACTGTCAAAGCTTTTAAATGAGGTTTGATTGGACGATCTTTTTTCAAAAGGTATTTTTATTAAATCTATAAGTCTGTACCGATGTAGATACGGAACATACAAATTACACACTTCTCTGTGGACAGTTTTTCTTTTTATATTGTGTTTGGTAAATGTGTGAAGTATGTTTTGTCGATCACTTCCTGAAAACATCGCTTGCTTCTCTAAAAACTACCCGAAACTAACTGGACTCTTTGGAATTTTCTAACTGCGATAGGTAACTAAACGCTTATAAGTAGGGGCAGTTTAAAACAAAATGAGATCTGGGCTGAAAACAGTTAAGGGTACCTTAATAGTATTAGTATCTATATTAGGATTTCCCTAATTGTGTATCGCAACGCCCTAGAGAGACACAGCATGCCAGAGGCGTCGTGAGGCAACCCACATAGATTGACTGTATGTGTCGATGCGACCGAGTTGACTATTCCTATGTTTTGTTTTGGTTCTTATTTTCTAATATAAATTATACATGTTATTTGGAGTTTTCCTGGTAACTTATTACTGGATTATAACTACAACTGGTAGGCACTATTTACTAGAGAGGAGCGTCGCAAAAAAATGTTAAATCCCAAGAGCGTCACAGTAGAAATAAGTTTGGAAAGCGCTGATCTATATAATAAAAAAAGATAACCACAAAAAAATTTTTTATATGACCGTATCGATTACTTGCGGTATGTAAAATTTGCGTTACTGCCTTCTATACGAGGGTGGATTGATAAGTTTCCGGCCTGACCAAGAAAAACAAGGTTTTTAAAAATTTTTTTTTTTTATTTCTCAACATAATCTCCTCCAAGGCTGATACATTTCTCATAGCGGTGTTCCAGTCTATTAATGCCATCTCTATAGACTGATTCGTCAAGCTCCTCAAAATAACCATTTACAGCTTCGATTACTTCTTCATTGTCCGCAAATCTCTTACCGCCAAGCCATTTTTTGAGATTAGGGAACAGAAAATAGTCACTCGGGGCTAGGTCTGGAGAGTAAGGAGGGTGCGGCATCAATTCAAACTTTAGATCGTTGATTTTAGCCGTCGCAACGATTGACGTGTGCGCTGGTGCGTTATCGTGATGAAACAAGATTTTTTTCTTCGCCAGATGAGGTCGTTTAATTTTCACCTCGTGGCTCAAACGTTGCAATAAGTCTGCGTAGTATTGACCAGTGATAGTATTACCCTTTGCAAGGTAATCAATGTATATAATACCTCTTGCATCCCAAAAAACAGTAGCCATAACCTTGTTCGCCGAAAAAATTGTTTTTGCCTTCTTTGGAGTTGGTTCCCCTGGTCCAATCCACTGTTTAGACTGTTCTTTGGTTTCAGGAGTGTAGTGGTGGACCCACGTTTCGTCAACGGTTACGAATCGACGCAAAAATTCGCTTGGATTACGCTTATACAATGACAAATTTGCGGTAGAAATGTTTTTTCGAATCAATTTTTGGTCGACTGTTAGCAAACGCGGCACCCATCTTGCACAGAGCTTTTCCATATGCAAATGTTGGTGCAAAATATGTTGCACACGTTCATATGACATCTTACAGGTCTCAGCTATCTCACGCACTTTCAATCTGCGGTCTCCCAGCACTATTTGATGAATTTTTTCGATCATATCTGGAGTTGTGACCTCAACGGGGCGTCCTGAGCGAGGCCCATCAGAGGTGCTCACACGACCCTTTTTAAACTCGGAAACCCACTGCTTAACGGTTGAATATGACGGGGAGGATGTCCCCAGTGTTGAGTCCATCTCTTTTTTAATTTCCTTCGGCGTTAACCCCTTCAAATAAAAGTATTTGATGACAGCACGATTTTCCTGCTTTTCCATTTTTACGAAAACCACAGAGGCGTCTTGTTCAGCGTGCTGTCAAACCTACACTAGCAAGGAGATCGGGCTGAAACTATAGCTACAAGCTATCCAAGGATGGTACTATAGAATGTCACCTCAAGGTAGGCCTAGTGGCGTCATCTCTTGGTTAGGCCGGAAACTTATCAATCCACCCTCGTACTTACCCTCATTCTGCATTACTATTACGATATTTTTTTGCAGTAATGCTTTTATGCATTTCTAACATAGCGGGGTTATCTATCTGTATTTTGACTACAATCATTGCAAAAGTCTATGATATCGTAATTTAAGCATAAATTGAAGAGGTTTAGGGCCTGAAGCTGTAGCCTCATTAAATATCTATCTTAATCTGGCCCTGATTATGAACGTTGAAACTACCAATACAACTTTCACTTCCATTAGCGTTCATAATTCATTTTTTACTTCCCATGTTACTTAAATGTAGATGACACTTACTCTGTATATTCACATAAAAGCATAGGTACCTATTTGAATAACAAAAAATTTTCTAATGTCATTTAGTGAATTAAATAAGACTAATGACCGTCAATATTTCACATTGGTGCCTAATGGTAATCCATCCGATTGTGCTGTTAGGTACCTACTTATAATACCTAAAATTTTTTCGTACTGGGTAAGGTCGGATAAATTAATTGTCATTCACCTTGATGCAAATAACACGTTATCTAATTTTTTTAAACGTCCGACATATCGTCCCACGCCGTTTCAAATTTCGACGACATAAATACATACGTTAACTCGCGGGTACTTCTTTATTTATGTATGTAAGAACGTGTGTGTGTGTGTATAGCGCCTCACCAACACAGAATCGGCAGCAGACCGACGTTTGGCGTCGGAGGCAGCCACGACGGATGGTGCCGTGTCGCGAAAAACCCGTACGACCGGTGTCAATAGAACAGCTACAGAAACATTAGTGGTGTTGCATTGACGGTCTTTGCGGTTGCACATCACTCCATACTCGTCGTAATAACGGTAAAGTCTGTCGCACCCACTGTCAGAGGCGTACACTATTAATTTTACGAAACATATATACATACCTACATTGGTGTCCACAGAATTTTGGGTATTGAGTAGGGGTGTCATCCATGCGAATTTTTCCGGAAATTTTCAAGCTTGAAGGGCATCCATCAGAATTATTTTCATTCAGTACACATTAGACTCTAAAGCAATGGTTTGCAACCGTTTTATACCTCCACATCTCCTTTTTCATAAAAAAATGTGCTTCAATTTTCTTAAACATCTTCAATGATTTTCTCTGTGTAAAGTTTATGATAATCATGAAACTTAATTCCTTTTGACGTGAGAGGTTCAGCTTACGGAAATAGGTTAATTTATATGGTTTCGATTAGGGATAGGCACACCGGATAGTGATTTTGCCGGGGGTACCCGGCGAAACAACTACAGTTAATACTTGACTTGCTAGATTTCCAATAAATGCCACACTCGTCAACGTCTCAAAACGCATATGTCCCGTTGAAAAAGTCGTATAAACAATCAACCAATGGAATATTAATTTCTGGTTGGCGGATTTTCAACGAGAAGAATTTAATCTTCCGTTGATAAGAGCCTTTAATGTAAATGGTAATAATTGGCCATTATTGATGTATTCTTGTTCACAAGAAAAAATAAACAAGAATTATATCGAAATAACAAATAATTAATATATAAATCAATAAATAAAATAAATTAGGACAAGCGGCTTATCCCACAACAATCTTAATCACTAATTTTCATTAAGCAAATTTATTGTTATACTTAACATATTAAATTATTATTGCTGGTGTTGGTTTTTNCATTAGGTAGGTTTTTTGTTATACTTATTAAATTATTATTGCTGGTGTTGGTTTTTTGTTTTTTCTCTCTCATAAAATTACCCGGCGTCATTATCCGGTACCACACCGGATCATCCAAAGCGGGTACTCAGGGTACTCTAGTTTCGATACTTTTGGAGATGTCGGGCGCATCCACCATTTATACCAAAACTACATATATGTATTATGTATTTATTTACATTTAGTTCACTTATTTAAATAAATATTTTTATTAGTGTAATCATTTTAGGTGCCTATTATGTTACCGATTCACTGTCGTTCATTACTTTCAAAATACACAAACTCCATACAAATATGATATATTTTGGCTTTGACCAGTGATTGATTGGTACGCCACTGTCATTTTGCCTCTTTTCTCATTTTAGATCCCGATATCATTCAAGATATCGTACCTCAAAGTACCATCGATGAGGATGAAAAGAGTAACAAGCGTAAGTTGTCAGATTAATCACAATTTGGCGCCCACACTAACGCCAATTCGTGTTTTGCAGATTTCGCAGCGCTGCTTACGGTACGTTCTTCGTTAATTCTTCGCAACGACGACATGCAACCCATTCCCAACGAGAATAAAAACAACGTGGTTGCGACCGGAAGGTTCACCATCCAGAAAAAGAACCTTTACTATTCATTTTACATATCCGACAAGGCGGCTCGACCTAGAGCACTCCAATTCGTTGACCACGATGGGTCCATTTTGGAAGAGCACACTCTTTCTAGTGCCGGAGGACACGTGTCCAGTTCATATCAGAACGTCACCAGAAAGGTGTGCGGAGTATGGAGAAGGCTGTCCAGAAATTATAGGAGACTCCTCAAGGAAGAAAAGATGTTCGTGGTTTTAATGTGGGGAACGAAAGATGTTACGGAATTTACTTTAAGCGGTCAAATCATGAAATACGTAGCTCTTGGAACGGAACTGTTTAGTTCTCTCTTGGAACCAGCTCCAAATTCAGATCTGACTCTGATGGCGGGAAGTGGTGGTACCGCAATCGTTTCCGCATCCACAGGATTATCTCCATCGATTCATATTGCCGTCGTTTTTAATGGAATTTTCACTGCGAACGAAACGTCCAATGTACCGGTTAATATCACGTTATCTCTCGACGAGAGAAGGCAAATCATATTGGAAGAGGTACGATTTTATATTATCCGTATATTTTATTTGAGAGGTACTATTGAAATTCTTTTCCTTTTTGTAGAAAGTAAAAGTATCTAAACCAGTCCATGAGCTTAATGTGATCGAAGTAAGATCGCCAGTATCTCCAGCGGATTTACGTCTGTTGACCAGGGGAAGATTAGTACTATCTGTATCGTCAGTATCAAGACCGGAAGCTCTACGATTAAGTGGAAACGTTCTCACAAAAACGACGTGTGAGCTATTCCAAACGACATTGAATTCGTCTGGAAATGACAAGAACGCAAATCCTCATGGTGCTTCTGGTCTCGCTTGGGTTTACCTCAATAGCGAAGGGTCCTTGGTATACAACGTTCAAATAGAAAATCTGAAAGAAAACCAATTGCCAGCCTTCATCACTTTAAATGATGCAAGTACTAAAAGGAAAACCGAATTAGAAGATCTAACGCCATATTTCAATAACGGTTGGGCTAATGGAACTTTAGACAAATTGAGTCCTAGAGTTTTGGAGCCCTTGTACTCGGGTAATATCGTAGTAAACGTTACGATTCCGGGCTTTAACAGTTTGATAAGGGGGCGATTAAGTCCACGATTCGTGGCAGATGCGAGAGACGCACCAGCTCCTACGTTACTTAGACGGGAAGATTCTGAATTACCTGTGTCAACTACGGGAATGGTGTGGTTAAATGTGGACGGAGACTGTCAAATTCAGTACGACGTAACATTGGGAGGGTCAACATTTAGCGATCGTAAAATGGAACTCGTATTAGAAACATTGCCAATGATTGCACCGGGTGCACCGGTTATCACAAGAGTTTTGGAAGAATTTCGAGGAAATCAAGTAGAAGGTGCATCGACAGAACCGTTACCTAGGGAAGAATTAATGAGACTTGGTACTGGGGTTGCTTTCGTAAAGATTATCGATAAAACCCAACAGAAGGAATTACTAAAAACAACTTTACCCCAGGTATGTTTCTATTGTACTGGGTACACTATATATGTTTCCTAGGATGTTTCATTAAAGTCAATAACTGGTGCTGCTTTGGTTTTTTTGTAAATTTTATAATCTTTGTCTTATTCGATGTCTTGATTAACGGTGAAGATCCCTGCTGAGAAATATTGAGGAAGTGGATACAAAAGAATTCGATTATTATTTAAATAAACCTCGTAAACTTCGGATTTAAAAGTAATTTATATTTAATTGATTCTTTTGGTAGATTTTACGATGATGTTTTGATACTACCTCTTGATAGAATCAGGTATACAACAGCTTTAATGGGTGTTTTACAGCTTGTTTAATTTTCATCGTCGGTTTTATAAAAACATAAAACATATGCTGTTGTATCAAACCCATTTCACAAAAAGCAGATAATTATTTCAACTCTGGTCAACGACATTCGTAGGTATTGGTTTTTTGGCACAATTTTTTCTTTTGTTTCAGATCAAATTACCGTCTTCCTGTGCACCATATTTTCCCGAAAACGATATTCCAACGCAAGTTCTTGATCCTTCGTATATAGGTCATATAGAAGCTTGCTTTCACGAAGGAAAATTCTACCAAGAAGGAGATCAGTGGACAACGTCGGATCCGTGCACAATGTGTTTTTGTCAAAATGGTAATCCCAAGTGTGACACGATGAGTTGTCCTAAGGTCCCATGCTCTGGCAATCAAAGAACAAAAGAACCTGGAGAATGTTGCCCGGTATGTTTGAACTCGTCGTATTTATCTAGTGAATTGAGCGGGACTAAAAAATGCTCGTTTGGTGGAAAATTTTATTCCCCTGGAAGTTATTTTCACCCGTTCTTAATTCCGAGTGGTTTCGATCTTTGCACGGATTGTTACTGCGATCCTGGAACTTTTGAAGTGAAATGTACCCGACAGAACAACGATAAGCTTTGCTGTAAAAATTGCCCAGTAACAAAAGCATTCGTCGATTCGGAAAACGAAACATACGTGAACGATCCCAGTAGTCCAAACGTTATTTACTCGTTTTTAAAGCCTGTGACATCCACCAGATCTCCTCAGGAGATCTTAGCAGCCGGTGGATGCAAAAACTTTGAAAATCCAAGTCAACCTTACGAAAACGGGCAGAAGTTTCATCCCTGGATTGCTTCTTTGGGAGAATACAAGTGTGTCACGTGCAAATGTAAAGTAAGTACAAAATAACTTACTGTTTATTGCAATTTTATTAACCATAATGCTTAAGTATAATAACGGATCAGGTAGGAAATCTGTAATGGCATTAGTTATTTAAGAAAAAGATACACTATTGGAAAGTTTTATTAGAAAAAGTGCTACCAAGTTTCGGACACGTGACCATTTTCAAAGGAATAAAGTAAATTATATACTAAAGTACTAAAACGAACACAGCAGAACTTAGTCAAATTAATAAATGGTAATTGGGAATCTATGAAACTTAACTGTAATTGGTCATTTACAAGATTTTTGTTACGATCCGAGAAGCCGTATTTTTTATCTTTTTTTACTAATATATACTGTAAATATGTTTTTTTATTCTTATATTTATAGATCTCCCACTTTGCCCAATGTAGATTCACAAGAATTGCACTTAATTCTATATATTCCTTTTTTTATGTCACAGTAGTTGCATCTCCCAATGTTAATTTAATAAAAAAAAGACAGACAGAGTGATCCTATATCCTACTTAATGTTATAGTTAAGAAAACATGTTCTCCTCTACATTCAAACTGCAAATGGAAATTTGTAAGCACAATACTGTTTTGCTGAAAGATTTATCACGTTATCTTCAGGCCAATCGACTTCTTATTAATTTTTCTGTAATCTATAAGTAAAGAACTATTTTCTGTATTTTTTTTCAAAATTTTAGGTTCAGTGGTTTCGGAGATAAGGGAAGACGAACGGTCAATATTCATCTATTTGCTTAAATAATTTTAAAACTATTTATTTCAAAACAAATATATTTGAGGCCCCTATAACATTTGATATGTTACACGGCATAGTTTGCAAAACTTTTCTTTTTAATTTCCTATTGACCCCCCAGAAATGACCCCCATGTTCAAAATTAATTTACTTGGATACGTTATGCATTCGTGTTTGGATCATAGAAATATGTGTCCTAAATTTCAACTGAATCGATCTGGTACATTCGGAGCATATTGACTGTAACAGACTGACAGACAGGTACACAAGTGATTTTATAATGGTTCCGTTTTTCATTCGGACGTAGGGAACCCTAAAAAGCTATACAGTAGCGTGTTACAATTTTGACGTGACAACGTCTTATAATTCGATGGAGCCGGCTGCACGCACGAAAAAACATGACTCATGCGGCGTTACCTCGCTCTGAGGCGTTCCATTTAAGGCTTGAAGTCCAAGCGAGAGCGCGGAACGAGCGACAAAGAAGCACAATCGGCCTCCGCGTTCGGCAGCGTTCGACATCTGTCTCTCTCCTACTTGAGTGAGCGATGCGTCCGCGTGGACAGCTGCTATACAATAATACATTTCCATTTACCTGCTTCTCTATATCCATACAAAATATCTATCAAACAAATAAAATTAAAATTTTCTTTTGAAAAATGAAACCATTCCATCAGTATTTTTTTATGACGTTGTCACGTTCAACTATCGTCAGTAAACCGACTTTACAGACAA